CTTAATGCAGCTGGCCAGGTCAGTCTGGTAGTAGCGGTCATGGTGTGCGTTGGCCGCAGCGAGCGTGAGCAGGTATTCGTTCCGGGCGTGAGTGGCTTTGGAGTTACAGTCACTTCTCTTAGCTTTCAACTAAAACAGGACAGACAGGACAGATTTAAACAAAGAGTAAACACATGAGTATTTATTTAAAGCGAAACTCCACAGATTCAATGGTTTAGATGTGAACAAAATCATTCACAGTGGTTTGGTATGAAATGCGCTTTTCCAGAGAAATTTACTGAGTCAGAACTGTTCACCATTATAGTACCAGGAACCAGACGTCCGACGCGTTTCATGGCTCTAAAAGCTTCATCCCGTTAAGTTATTACACAAAATGGTTATGAGACACTGTTTTGTGATAGTTTTGTTATGAAGTTTTGGCCTAAAACGTATTTTTAGTATGAAGTTTTACTCCAGATTTAGTTCCGCGTTTCCTCTCAAAGCCGCATCTCAACTGAGATCAATGCGCAGAACCTAATGTGCTTTTGTTGTTATTAGCCTGTAGCTACAGCTGTTCAGCAAAGCTAATGCCAGGAACAGCTTCTGTTTACAGTTTATTTTTCTTATCTATTTTGGAAGGTGGTAGAGTATGTGGAGGACTTCGAGGAGGTCTGCCTCCAAAATGTTGTAGATCCATATCAATTTGAAGCAGAAAACACATAGGAGGGGGGGGAGAGAGAGAGAGACAGAGAGAGAGACAGAGAGAGAGAGAGACAGAGAGACAGAGAGAGAGACAGAGAGAACCGGCGCCAACGCAGAGCAACCCGGGGCGAATGGAAAGTGCTGGTCTCAACAACAAACTACTTGCTACTCCACTTACCAGGTGGTTTGGTAGGATAGTGAGGTAGACAGTTTTTGTTTTTTTTGCGTGGTCCTCGTTTGACAGTCTGTTCTAAGCTAACGGCGAACAGTGATATGTGCACGGTGGCTAATTTACGATTAAGCTGAATAGGTGTTCATATGTAAATGTTTGTGGTTGTGACATCACAGCCATAATACATTTTACTGGCATTTTTTATGATTTTTACGATTTATTGATTGCAGTTTCTGCTGTAGTGAAACTGTGAGTGTGTAAATTTGCGGCTCTGCAATCAGACCATCCCCAAAAAGCCATGCAGGGTGGAGAGGTACATGCAGGGTGTTGTAAGGAAAAAATAGAACCCAAATAAAACTTATTTTTTCAATTTCGCTGTATTTTTCCGTTATCAGCATGACATAAAAACTGACACGTGAGTTCACTGGTGATTTTGGACAGCAGATAAAATGGTGATATTTGTAGTGTAGACATAACGACGTCTGGTTCCTGGTACTATAATGGTGAACATTTCACACCAAACTACTCTGAATGATTTTGTCAATCGATAGACTTCCCCTTTAAGACTATTTATCAGCAACATTCCTTAAAAAACACCAAGGCTTTTTATCTGTAGACTGGAAATATCGGAGGCTTTTGTTTTAGACAAAAATGGGTGCATGCAGTATTTAATATTAGTATAATATTAGTGATGCACTGAAATGGCTGATACTAAAAAGGAGATTCAGGGCACACTGGGTTAAAATACCAAAAACCAACTCACAATAAATAAAACAGTTTACATAATGATTTCTTTGTAATTTCAAAATCTCTCATACCTCAAATATTTCATTATCATACAATTATTTGTTGTATTTTTTGTAGGGCTACTTCACATTTTCAGTGGTCAGATTTTGTTGCGCCCCTATTGAACATTATTCTAATTGAATCCATGATTCTAAAATCGATGCAGTTGAATCACCACCTTCTGATCAATGCATGCATTTTTACATCCCTAATTAGACGAGGGGTTAATATGGATGGAGATGGTGGTTCTCACCTTGACGCTGGCCTTCTGTAAACTAATCCTGGACTGAAACAGCCCCAGCTTTGACCTGCAGAACACACAGCAGACACTAATCAACTCTCATGAATTTTTCATCCTCAAAAATCAAATCTAATCTAAATCAACCACAGCTTAATGCACCACAGCATAAGGATCGGTGTCCTGTAGCTCTGAGAGCATTCAGAGTGGAACCAGCTCCAACGTTTAAAACTGCTTGTGTTTAGTGGTGGGCAATATGACGACATGTTATCATTATCGTGATAAACTGCGCCTCTATACTTGTTTCGAGGAGTATTATGGTATGGTCAGTACTAGTAAACTGCTGAACAACTGCATGGATCATATAAAGACAGATTTAGACCAATTATAGAGAGCCTGTAAACAACAGTAGCAACCAGTGTACACCGGTCAGGCATAACATTCTGGCCACCTCCTTGTTTCTATGCTCATTGTCCATTTTATCAGCTCCACTTACTATATAGGTGCACTTTGTAGTTCTACAGTTACAGACTGTAGTCCATCTGTTTCTCTGCATACTTTGTTAGCCCCTTTTACCCTGTTCTTCAGTGGTCAGGACCCCCATGGACCCTCACAGAGCAGGTACTATTTGGGTGGTGGATCATTCTCAGCACTGCAGTAACACTGACGTGGTGGTGGTGTGTTAGTGTGTGAGACGGTAGCTCATCTGCTGCTGCACAATTTGTGTTGGTCATCCTCTAGCCCTTTATCAGTGGTCACAGGACGCTGCCCACAGGACGCTGTTGGCTGGATATTTTTGGTTGGTGGACTATTCTCAGTCCAGCACTGACACTGAGGTGTTTAGAAACTCCAGCAACACTGCTGTGTCTGATCCACGCAGACCAGCGCAACACACACTAACACACCACCACCATGTCAGTGTTAATCAGTGTTATAGTGCAGATAAATGCAAAAGTCTGTTTGGTTAAATTATGTTTTGTGAAGAGAAAAAAAAAAAACTTTCTCCAAATTTTAGTGCACAATTTCTATTTATTTGCTGAGTTTAACATATTGGAAAGAAATGCAATGTAGAATGCGCTTTACACTTTTGCACCGACCACACTCTGTTTTTTATTTATTTTTTTTCAATATGTTACATTCAGCAAATAAACAGTAAGTGTGGATTAAATTCCAAAAATAATTTCAGACAAAAATTCCACGTAAATCCACAAGTTACCCAAACATTATTGTACCTGGACTTTTGAATCAGGAGATACCATTCCTTTACATTCTGTCTCCTTTTAGTTTTCAAGTGAGAGCCATATTCTTGTTGTATGTTTTTAGTTTTTGTCCAAAGGGTTACTTTTTTTGGAAATTGTCCATATTTTCCATAAAAATGTTTTTAGTCTAGCAGTAACAAGGCCAGTTGTCATCAGAACATGATAAACAAATTAATAACCTAATTATCAGCCAAAGAAATAAGTTTGAAATCCACTTTAGGAGATCTCTCTCTCTCTCTCTCTCTCTCTATATATATATATATATATATATATATATATATAAAACGAAATATATTTCATATATATATATTCCATAAAAATGAATGTTGTGTTCATCTCACATGTGCTGCACTACGTTCCCCAGCATGCACTGGAACGAAATTTGCACTCTAACTCCACTCTCCCAACAGTAATCTATTGGACAGCGGTTACACTAAAAAAGAAAAGATGCCAGGTGTGTAATTCAAGCAGATAGGCAGGTTTAAAAAATGTACTTCCATATAATATCCATATAAGTTTATTAAATTTATTTGCTAATGGCAAAACGTTAATTAAAAATTTACTTTTTAAATTCTTTTCGGGGTTTTTAATATGGCCCTTTTAGTGGGTGAGCTTGACACCCCTGCTGGGTTAAAAACTGGGAGTTTTCCTTAAATTCTCCTTTGTAGGATTTCTTTCAGACCATTTTATCATTTAATGAGATGAACAGATCATTAATTTTTAATGAAAATATGTAAATTTTACAAAAACAAGAAACCCTTTGGACCAAAGACCAAAGAAAGAGCAATTAGAAAACTGGGCGCTGTAGCCAGTCTGTCTGACCAATTTCAATTTTCTTTTCACATTTGTCAGTGAAACTCTAAGAACCACTGTGGTAAAGGGAATTTTAAAATTCCAGTACAGGCATAAAAGGGTTAAATAATTCTTGTAAACACTGAATAAATATGTGGCACCACTGTTTTGCTGGTGCATGTTCACTCGTTTGGAGACTTCAGAAAAAACGAATGTTTTGATACATGAACACATCTTCAAGTCTACAAGTATCATATTTATATTTTCGTCATGTCGCCCATTCTTTCTTGTGATGTGGTGGTTTCTGAAAAAACAAGGCCCAGATCGCCTTCTCTGTTGCGAAAGGCAGGAAAAGAACACAAATCAGCCCACATTAGACCGCATTCACATCTGCGGGAGGAAGTACCAGGCATTACAAATTAAATCCAGATTAGCACCTTTCACAGAGGAGGAAGTGGATCATGAATTCTAAACGGTCTGATGGCTTCGAGTTCTAAATCATACCCAGACCAGACCACTCTGTGACTTGTGAAAGGAAGGAAAAGGCATTAGAACATTAGAACAAAAGGCGAACAGTCAAGGCTGAGTAACGTCCGCTTTGTTTATTAAAAAAAAACAACTCAGCAAAAACGCCTTCTCTGAGAAAGTGGATGGTTTGTGGTGAGGATGCCAATGTGGTTCTTAATCCAGAAACCACTTTCACATCCACACAGTTCCTCCCTGCCTTGAGGACGCTCAGTGGAGTTAGCCCTAATCCTAGTCTGAACCCGTCTGTAGCCCCCCAAAAATTCTCTCTAAATCTGACTGTAGCTGACAAAATTTTGTCTAAATTTGCACAAAGTCCAACAAAACTGTCTACATCTGAATGTAGTCTGACAAAATTCTGTCTAAATCTGACCGTAGCGTACAAGATTCTGTCTAAAACTGATTGTAGCTGACAAAATCCTGTGTATGTCCGACTGTAGCCTGACAATTTTATCTAAATCTGACGGTAGCTACAAAATTCTGTCTAAATCTGACTGTATCCCAATAAAATTGTCTACATCCAACAAAATTCTATCTAAAACCATCTGTAGCCAAATAAAGCTCTGTCTTAATCTGACTGTACTTTGACATTGTTTGAATCTGACTGTAACTGACAAAATTCTGCCCAAATCTGACCATCAGTAACAAAATTCTGTCTAAATATGATTAGCCAGACAAAATTCTGTCGACATCCAGCTGTAGCCCGACAAAATGTTGCCTTAATTTGACCGTAGCTGACAAAATTCTGTCTAAATCTGAGTGTAGTCGAACAAAATTCTGTCTAAATTTGATTGTAGTCGACAAAATTCCATCTAGAACTTATTAGCCTAGCAGTAACAATGATAACTGTCATCAGAACATCGATCAGTCAACAGAAAGTAATTTTGAAATCTAGTTTAAAAGATTTCTTCATCAATTCACACAACATCCCAAAAGTCTTTAATCTGGATAAACTTTAGATAAGTTGATCTCACTCTGGTGCACTGTTGGAAAAAAGAGGTGCAAAGGATTCTGCAAGCAATACCATAGAAGAACCAATTTGGTTCTGTAGGGAACCAAGAAATGTGCAATTGTGAAGAACCTGTTAAAAGGCTTAAAGACCCTTCACATAATGTAAAGTTTATATACCAATTTAAGGGTAGTTTTTTTCACATTATCTGAGGGTTCTTTAAACTTTAAAAATGATTTTTCACTCTCAAACTTCTCATCTTCAAAAACAACCATAAACAACCATCCACTGCAAGACTATTTAAGGAACTAAAAGTGGTTCCTCTACGCTATTGTGCAAAGAACCCTTTTTGGCACCTTCACTTCTACTAGTGTGGACTTTGCTGCCAACGAAGTGATGTTAACATGACAGATTTGACCTTAATTACCTGTTTGGAGATAAACGTAGGCCAAAATCTATTAAAGGTAGGAGAAACCAGAACATCAAAAAAATTTAACCCGACCCAAAACCCAACCGATATTTGGGAAATGCTGCCTGAACCTGATTGAACCTTAACATGAATATATCAAGCTCTAGTGGAGGTCTAAGCTAGATCTGATCTCAAAACGGTAGGTGGTAAAGGCACCAGACTAATGACCTCCCACTTTCTCTCCTTCATTCCAGCTCCTCCTCTTCACTTCTGCCAGCAGTGAAATGTAGGGCTAGGCCCTTGGCCAAATCAATACTGCCTTTGCTAGCCAGCTCAAGCTCTCTGTCTCTTTCTTCCGTGTGTGTGCAAATGGCTCTTGAGGGTGAGGATCTGTAGTGGAGAGCCTTTAACAAATTCTGCATCCTGCTAATAAGCTGCTTCAGAGGAAAAGCTCTCCCTGAACGGAGACTGGCTGTGAGCTTTGGTGGAGAAGCTAAAGCCTAAACGAGTGTCTCTTGCTGGAGTTTCTAGCTTTTGAAATTTCCGGCAGAAACACACAAGGGTGCACTTGATTTCGCAACGTGTCTTCACAACAAGCAGGCAGGAAACTGCTATTAGAATGACTCAGAGGTTTTAAACTCCTCTCCAGGTGGTTTCTAAATAGCCAATAAGCAGGACAGCCCCAAAGCGCGGGTTCACCGCGGTGGGTTCATGACCTGGCGGTGAGTGGGGTGGCTCTGAGGCCGTTAGCTGTAGTGCTTTAGTGTTTTAGTGCTTAGCGCCCGCAGCAGGTGAACTACATACTTGGCTTCGATGTCGGCCTTTTCCCGCACGGCCTGGGCCATCTGCTCCAGCTCAAAGTACTTCTTTTTGGACTTGGCCAGGTCCTTCACCGAGTCTTGTAGTTCAGCCTGGATCCGGCCCAGCTGCTCGATGCACTGCACATGACAGCCACAGGGGGGCAACATTACAGAGGGGGCAGAACAGAGGGCAGCTTAATACAACTCACAGAACAGAGAAGAAACTGTCAACATTAAAGGAATCAGACAACATCTACCTGCACTTACAAAGGAACCTGCGGACTTAACCCTTGTGTGGTGTTCAGGTCTGTGGGACCCATTTTCAATGTTTACCAAAACATTAAACATTTAATGTTTTTTAACCTCAGATTCTTGGCTTTTGCTATTTTCTGTGAAGAACATATAAAATAACCCATTTTCAGTGTCTTCACTCTGTTCACCCCCCACACATTTATACTACACATGTGGTGTTGGGTGAACCTGCGGGGAGTAAAAGTGTGGAGGTGCTGTGTCCTTCACTCTGTTCTCCTCCTACATGGCCTGCTGTTAGTGTGTGTGTGTGTCTGTGTGTGTGTGTGTGTGTGTGAGGGTGGACAACATGGACAGGCTGCTGACTGGCTACAGCTGCTAAAGGAGAACCCTACACTGGACACTTGTGATATTTTAAACATCTGGTATTTTTCCATAAATTGTTTTGGCTGTATTCCTTTAAAAACCAATAATGTGGTGGGTCCACCAGACCACTGAGTAACAAACACATCAACACCACTCCAGGGTTAAAACATATTTATAACAGAAGACAGTGGGCAGTTGTTTATAGAGATGCACCGATATGGGAACTGTGGGCCGATGCCGATTCTTCACGTACATACAGTCAATGCTGGTGCTGATACATAAATATTTATAAAATGTAGAAACTGAGACTAAATCTACCAAGATCTGCATAACAGAGAAATATAACATCTATTTTTATGAGGTTAGAAATGCAGTAAAATGAATAAAATGCACATATTTAAGCACAGTAACCCAGCACTGCTCTTCTAGAGTACAATATTTCCATTATCATGTATCGGTTTGAAATATCAGTCAAATCTAAACATCGTCCAATGCTGACAATGCTTTTTTAAGCAATTATCTGCTGATGCTGATATGATTCCAGTATTATTGTGCATCCCTACTTGTTTATTATTAAAACCACATGTAATATAAGTGTGTTCAGCACCTGCCCACAATGTGTTTTGAGTATTCCTTTAATTCTTAATCCTAATCTTAATCTTCTCTAATACATTTGCTTATAGTCGTATGCAAACGTTTGGACACTCCTAGACAAATGACATGTTTTGTTGATTTTCTAAGTAAAAAATGAGTTAACACATTTTTTTTCCCCCAATATGTTAAATTCAGCACATAAACAGTTATTGTGCACTACAATGTGCAACTGTGGAGGATGTGTTTACTTTTTGTTCTTTCAAAATAAACAAAAACACGACCAGGGTGCCTAAACTTATGAATATGACTGCACGGTGTTTTTGGCACTGTGTGAAATACTGTTATCTATAAACAAGCAAAACGCAGTCTCGGCTGACTGATACATTTGGATTAAGGGGGAAACTGTGCAAATGAGATTTGTTTGTTGAACTTGCACTAAAATCAAGGCTGTCAATCAGTGAAGCAGTACCTTCTTCAGCTGCTGCTCTTTGTAAAGTCGTACGGTTTTGGCCGGGTCGGAGATCTCGTTCTTGTAGTTTTCACACACGAATAGTCGAGACTGGGTCACCTGCACTGTGCCCTCCAGATACGCCCTCCACACGCCATACACATTCCTGCAGGACACACACACTGTTAGCCTGCTGCCCTCTGCAAAGCTTTTCAAGACCACAATAAGTCAGTGATATTTCAAAAACTTTAAAAAAAAATAATAATAACAGTAATATTGTCATGATTTGCAGATATGCAGAGGAGTATAGAGACGAGTATATGGAGGAGTATGTGGAGGAGTATAAGGAGGAGTATGTGGAGGAGTATAAGGATGAGTATGTGGAGGAGTATGAGGAGGAGTACATGGAGGAGTATATGGAGGAGTATATAGAGAAGTATATGGAGGAGTATATAGACGAGTATATGCATGAGTTAATGGAGGAGCATGTGGAGGAGTATACAGATGAGTATATGGAGGAGTATACAGAGGAGTATATTAGAGGAATATATGAAGGGGTATACAGAGTACATAGAGGAGTATATGGAGGAGCATATTAGAGGAATATATGATGGAGTATATAGAGGAATATATAGAGGAGTAGGAGGAGGAGTATATAGAGGAGTATATTAGAGGAATATATGAAGGGGTATACAGAGTACATAGAGGAGTATATGGAGGAGCAAATTAGAGGAATTTATGAAGGGGTATATAGAGTACATAGAGGAGTATATGGAGGAGCATATTAGAGGAATATATGATGGAGTATATAGAGGAGTATATAGAGGAGAATGTGGAGGAGTATACAGAGGAGTCTATGGAGGAGTATATAGAGGAGTATATAGAGGAGTAAGTGGAGGAGTATATAGAGAAGTATATAGAGGAGTATATAGAGGAGTATGTGGAGGAATACACAGAGGAGTATATGGAGGAGTATATGAGTATATAGAGGAGTATATGGAGGAGTATATAGAGGAGTATGTGGAGGAGTATATAGATGAGTATATAGAGGAGTATGTGGAGGAATACATAGAGGAGTATATGGAGGAGTATATGAGTATATAGAGGAGTATATGGAGGAGTATACAGAGGAGTATATAGAGGAGTATGTGGAGGAGTATATAGAGGAGTATGTGGAGGAGTATATAGAGGAGTATATGGAGGAGTATATAGAGGAGTATATGGAGGAGTATACAGAGCAGTATATGAAGGAGAATATGGAGGAGTATATAGAGGAGTATATGGAGGAGTATACAGAGGAGTATACAGAGCAGTATATGAAGGAGTATATGGAGGAGTATATAGAGGAGTATGTGGAGGAGTATATGGAGGAGTATGTGGAGGAGTATATATATGGAGGAGTATACAGAGGAGTATGTGGAGGAGTATATAGAGGAGTATATATATGGAGGAGTATACAGAGGAGTATGTGGAGGAGTATATAGAGGAGTATGTGGAGGAGTATATGGAGGAGTATATAGAGGAGTATGTGGAGGAGTATATGGAGGAGTATATATATGGAGGAGTATATAGAGGAGTATGTGGAGGAGTATATAGAGGAGTATATGGAGGAGTATATAGAGAAGTATACAGAGCAGTATATGAAGGAGTATATGGAGGAATATATAGAAGAGTATGTGGAGGAGTATATAGAGGAGTATATAGAGGAGTATGTGGAGGAGTATATAGAGGAGTATATAGAGGAGTCTATGGAGGAGTATGTGAAGGAGTATATAGAGGAGTATATGGAGGAGTATACAGAGGAGTATACAGAGCAGTATATGGAGGAGTATATAGAGGAGTATATAGAGGAGTATGTGGAGGAGTATATGGAGGAGTATATAGAGGAGTATATAGAGGAGTATGTGGAGGAGTATATAGAGGAGTATGTGGAGGAGTATACAGTGGAGTATATAGAGGAGTATGTGGAGGAGTATATAGAGGATTATGTGGAGGAGTATACAGAGGAGTATATAGAGGAGTATACAGAGGAGTATATAGAGGAGTATGTGGAGGAGTATGTGGAGGAGTATATGGAGGAGTATGTGGAGGAGTATGTGGAGGAGTATATAGAGGAGTATATAGAGGAGTATGTGGAGGAGTATATAGAGGAGTATATAGAGGAGTATGTGGAGGAGTATATAGAGGAGTATGTGGAGGAGTATGTGGAGGAGTATATAGAGGAGTATGTGGAGGAGTATGTGGAGGAGTATATAGAGGAGTATGTGGAGGAGTATATAGAGGAGTATGTGGAGGAGTATGTGGAGGAGTATACAGAGGAGTATATAGAGGAGTATATAGAGGAGTATGTGGAGGAGTATATAGAGGAGTATGTGGAGGAGTATGTGGAGGAGTATACAGAGGAGTATATAGAGGAGTATATAGAGGAGTATGTGGAGGAGTATATAGAGGAGTATGTGGAGGAGTATGTAGAGAAGTATACAGAGCAGTATATGAAGGAGTATATAGAGGAGTATATAGGGGAGTATATAGAGGAGTATATAGAGGAGTATGTGGAGGAGTATATAGATGAGTATATAGAGGAGTATGTGGAGGAATACATAGAGGAGTATATGGAGGAGTATATGAGTATATAGAGGAGTATATGGAGGAGTATACAGAGGAGTATATAGAGGAGTATATAGAGGAGTATATAGAGGAGTATATAGAGGAGTATGTAGAAGAATGTGGGGAAAGTCACCTGTAGTCCGTCCGCTGGTCGTCCGGTTTGATGCCAGGCCAGTCCCTCTTCAGATACTGATTGGCCAGCTTCTGCAGAGCCTGATCAACACACAGAAACACAGTCGGTGTTAACTGGGAAATTCTTCAGCTCTTCAGCCTCTCAGCACCAGCTCTGCTCAGAGAGAAGACACAGGGCCGTATGTGTGTGTTCTCACGACCCCGTCATTAAACACCGTTTATCATATAATACAGCTCAGTCCAGCACCAGAGAGCAGTGACATCATCAGCAAACAAACACACACACACACACACACACACACACACCTCACACTGCACCGTTCCACACAACACACTGTCCTGAACTTTGAACACTGTGACACACAGGAAAACAGTTCTAACCTACAGAACCGACAAAATACTTCAGGCTTTGTAAGCATAAAGACCACAAGCTGTTACTTAGAAACAAAAATAAACATACAAGAACTTTGCAAATCAATCATAGCTGCTGGTGTTCTCAAAACAATGGACTGACCACCCCAGAGTCCAGACCTCAACATCACTGAATGTGTCAGAAAATGATCGACCAACTTCTAAGACTGAACTTTGGAGGTGTGTCTGCAGATTCTTTGAGAAACTGAAAGTGGGTCTCCTGCAAAAGAATGGAAGCTGGAATAAAGACAGAGTGACACTAAATACTGATATTATATTTAGTTGTTGAGGTTCTTTGTAATTTTCTGTTAAATATGTTTATGTACACTTGTGATTAACGGCCAATTTGACTAGTAATTAAATAAATAAAGGTCTCGAATTTGCTCACAATACTATACATAATACATATGGGGCACATTATTGCATATAATTACTTACATGTACGGGACATGTGGACTGCACATTCTGACACTGTATAAAAACAAATGTCTGTGGTGTGTGGAGGGGCTTTAGCTCCATGTAGGATAATAAAAGCCTGTAATTCAGCATTACAGTACAGACACCCCCTGACATATGGCCAAACAACTGCATACAAAAGCTTCAGAAAATGTTTATTACACAGCCTGGACCTCCTGCACCCTCAAAATAATGAGGAGGAGAGAGAGAGAGAGAGAGAGAGAGAGAGAGAGAGAGAGAGAGAGGTAAACAGTGGCCTCACGCTGGATAAACACACTGCAGTGTCATTTCCACCTGTCAGATTCCCAGCTCTAAAAACACAGCACAGTTTCTCTCTCTCAGCTCACGCTGGAACCAAGTGTCAGTAAATATGCAGCGAGTCTGAACTCAGCTCAACTGTACTGTCACTCCACTCACATACGAGTATATCAAGGGGATCAAACACAGTTTCTCCTGCAGATACACACAAAAAACAGTTACTGCACACATCGTCACTCTGACACAGCCGACAACACGAGTATTAAACAAGGTCATCTTATTTATCTCCAAAATAATAGCATAGATATATAACTATATATAAATATGTATATACAGGGAGATTCACTCGAAAGAGGCCCCGAATATTCTGTAATAACTCTCGCTAGGATGAAGCAATCTGAACGAAACCACGTGCAATGTGCTCCTCAGTATGTGGAGCTTCGAACAAGCCGGGATGCCCCTGCGCCGGAGCGATGAGGTAGGCGCTGGACAGCCGTCACAATGTTTAACCTCCGTTTGCAACTTCCGGGTGCATACCCCCCATACCCATTCGTGTGTCTGGCAGAAAACGGAGATCACTTCCAGCACCGCCTGTAATGCAATCGATTACACATACGTCAAGGTATGTAGTGTATTTTTTGGTTCAGATTGCTTCATCCTAACGGGAGTTACAACAGAACATTCGGGGCCTCTTTCGAGTGAATCTCCCTCTATTATATCTATACATACAAATATATATAACTTTACAGGAGATAGAAAAAACCTAATTTACTTTTAATGTAAGTCAATGGAACCAGACTTTTTTTCAAGGCATTGTGGGTCGTTTCTTTTGGTCCATTCATCATGAAATTTACACACAATGTAAAGAGCAACAGGCATTTTCGAATTATGACAAAAACTGAAAAACTCAAGATTTTCTTCCAATAGCAGGTATATATATATATATATATGTACACACACAGTGACAATGTATAGGTGAGTATTTTACTACTGGTATAAGTTTCATAGTATTCTTATGACTTATCAGTATAAGCTAGTATGAGTCACCCGATCAGGGGTGCCCAAACTTTTTGTCCTGAGGGACCAAAGCGTGAGTGTGTGGTGGACCGAGGGCCAAAAAAAAGACAGGCTTAAAGCTTTAAAAACGCATTTATAACATTACAGTATATTTGGTTACTAATAAACTTAATCAGTGTTAAAAGGAAAACGAGAAGTTAACCCCTTAAAACAGGGGTGTTCAATCCTGTCCACAGAGGGCCGGTGTGGCTGCAGGTTTTCACTCAAAACAAGCTGGAGCTCACCTGGTTCCACTTGTTTAATTAGTTGGTTTCAGTCTTCAAACTGTTGATCAGGTGATGTCCTGCTTTGTTGGAATGAAAACCTGCAGCCACACCGGCCCCTTGGGGATAAGATTGGACACCCCTGCCTTAAAATCACAGGCTTATTATTCACTACAGGGACTTCAATGCAAACTGGCTGAGCTGTTCTTAGGTTACAGAAGTGTGTACTAAAACTTTAGGCCCACCAGTGAGCCCTGGCCATTTAAGGGGTTCAATTATACACAGTGTAAATATATGTTTGCTCTCTGGCTGAGCAGAAGGGATTAAAGTAACTTTCAAATTAAATGCCCACTTTTGGCAGCTGTGCTGTAGATTATATAAGAAAACTGAGCAACTGCATTTCGTGTTTTTGCGACTGCAGTAAAAAACAAAACCTTGTATCACTGAAATGAACTTGTAAGTTTATAGAAGAAGAACACAAATTTAAAGTGCGCTAGATCTGAAACTGGGTATCGGTATCCGGCTGAAATCAGCAGAACTAAATGTGATCTAATCCTGAAACTCAGCACCCAATCACACCATGTGTAGCTGTGTAGTTCTTCCTGTGGGGTAAACAGAGTGGCGGCATCATACACCACTTTTAGATCGTTAGCTCATTTAAAGGATTAGCAGTCTTTAAAGAAGAAACTGGTGTCGGTTGATGTTGAAGGTTTCAGTATCAGTATTGGGAGCAGAAAATGATGCTGTCACATCCTGTGGTGAAAAAAAACGTTCCGAAAGTCGTTGGGTTTCGCTGTACAGACATTTCTCCTCCAAATATTTTTGGATTCTTCAAATAATGAGGTCATTAACAAGCTGGAATGCAAATATTGCTACATGTGAGCTACATTACTGCCCACTGAACTGACATCATAAGACAGGAAACCTCAAAATACCCCATACAAACCAGCAAGCTTTGTCAGTATGAGCAGCTGGTGTTGGAATATAACAGTGTTGAAGTTTAACTGTAGGCTTAGGCCCAAATCCCATTTCTTCTTTTTACCCCTATGCCTTGTTTTCGAGTGTCATCTTGCCCCTAAGAACTGAGTTACAAGGCGTAGTGGTTGAAATCTCCCCCTGTAAAATGGGACCCTCAAATAAAAAGAGCATCACTTCATTAACAGCTACCAGCGCTGCTCTGTAGGTGACCCTGCCAGTCTGCAGTGACAGCAGAGGAGGGTAAAGTTCAGCTCCTCACTGCTGGGCTTTAGTTACATTTAGGGCATCATATGCCTTCAAAGAGGGGGGCAATTATTTATTATCACCCACCCCAAATTTTTCAGTGATATGAAGCTGAATCAGATATTCACCAGCTTCTCATTTGAACTGTGTTCGCCTTAAATGGTGCAGCAGTTACATTCTGGTGCTTGAGGCGTCAGAACTGCTCAAGTACTGCACTATTTAAGGTGGAACGGGAAAGTTAGCTAGCTAGCTACCGAGACATCAGCTACTATTTCCGATTTTTTATGCTTGTTATGAAGAAAAGGACCATAATACACTGAAACAGCATTAAACTAAGATGATACGATGGTTATTGTAATTTTTAACAGAGAACATACTGATGTGTGGGCTTCTTTGGTCGCTTGTGCAGCCATCTTTCCTGTTTTTCTTTTTTTCTCACAACATAAGGGGTGAAATGGGACTGGGCCTATGTAGCATTATTCATATTTTGATCCCTCAATCACTTAACAATTCAGAAGATCCAGTGACAATCGAGGGAAAAATGCACACAAAACGTATCAGCTTTGGACCGAACGCTACAATGACGATTTCTGAAAACACCATTTATTTTTCCCATAGAGAAAATCAGCTTAGACCCAGAGTTCCTAATATGGTCATGATACTATACTATAAGACTATAGTGTCCTGCTTGACAGTATAGAAACATAACACAGCATAACACACACACCCTGCCCCTCTCTCTAGCCTCGCTCTTCTAAAGCCAGACAGGCAGAGAGAAGAAAGAGCTCATTCTGCTGTGGCTGTGAGTGAAAGGGTGGTGGATTGAGAGATTCTGAACAGACGGAGAAAAGCTGGGCTTTCAGACCTTCTACACTCACTCAGCTTATGGCTTTTTTCTCTTTCTGTGCAGCCTAAAATAACCACCGGTCAGGCCCCCAACACCTTGGGAAGGCTGGCACGTGCACACACACACACACACACACGAAGGAAGGAAGGAAGAGAAAGAAAAGAATTCCTGAATATCTCTTAAAAACCTCTCTTTCTGTCTCTCTGGATTCCATTTGTAGCACAGCTAACACACCAACTACTGATTACAAGTTGCAAATAGGGTCACGTGATTCTTGATTAATTGGGATCCCTGATTTTTTTTGGCTTAGAAAGAACAATAAAGTGCTTATTAACATAGGCAGGTTATTATGCATATTAACAACCACCTGGGATACCATAGCAATGGCCTAGCAATACCTTAACAACCACCTGGGATAGCACAGCAATGACCTGGCAACACCTTAACAACCACAGGGGATACCACAGCAATAACCAAGCAACACCCTAGCAACCGACTGGGATACCATAGCAATGGCCAAGCAACACCTTAGCAACCAACAGGGGATACCATAGCAATGGCATGACAACACCTTAGGAACCACCTGTAAAACCATAGCAATGGTCTGG